GCTGTTAGGGTTGTAGTTCTCCATGTCCAGATAGCCCTAAGGGGCTCTGTACCAAATGGAAGGACTCCCCTTCTCATCATGGGGCTTCCTGCTCTCTTCCTGGCTTACCTGGAAAGTGCCACCAAGCATGGATGCCTGACCTTATTTGTAACATGACCTTTGGCATAGTTACCTGGAGTAAAAACTACCCCCAGGTTTTTTCTATATGATAATCAGGCATTGCCTGATAGTCGGACGATAGGAGCCCACTACCACATGTAAATAAAGCATACTATGAGCACCTATCAGCTGAGGCTTTGGCTACTGCCTCCACACTATAATTTCTCTAGTTCTCCCACTGAATAAACGGAGCTGTTTCACTGAATCTGGAGCTGTTTCACTGAGTCTGGAGCTGTATCACTGCATTTGTTTCACTGCCCCATGAAACCAGCCTCCCCAGAAGGGCTTTCTTCCGTCAGTGCTCAGTGGCCGTCCTGACTCCGTTCACCGCTTCTGCTCCCCCTGCCCTCATGGACCGGTGGCCAACGACCCGCGAAGAGAGGGAGAGACCCCCGCATATTACAAAAGTTGTTTGCAAGCAGGGGGCACCACAGCAGTCCTGCTAAGGAAGCCACTGGAGGATGCAGGCCATGAAAACAAAGAAAAACACACAGGACCCAGGGGTCAGATGAGGATTCCCAGGAAAGTGATCAAGAGACGGACAGAAGAGAGTAACTGTGGGTATAACCTGCAGAGCAAGATGCTGCAGGCCAAGGTGCCTGGAATAAAGCCAGAAGGTGGCACCTAAAGTGACAGACTGATTACCTCAGATATTTGACTGCACTGAAGAATCTTCAAGCATTTTAGGAGTCTGAAGAGGTAGTGGATGCACAGAAAGGCAAAGGGAATTATTATATCCTAGGAAAAAAATGTTGTAAAGATGGACATGTAATCATAATATACCATGTGGCTGAGCTTTGGAGATTTGCATGGCCACAACAGTATGTATACTGAGTACGAATTTATCTCTGTGTTGGGTATGGGTGTGTAGAAGAACGTATCTACTTCTTCCACACCAGTAAGCACAGAGCCAGTGTCAAAAGAGAAATGTCAGGAAACAGCAGTATTAAGAAGACTGTTTCAAAAGATGGAGGTAAACAGGTAAAAGAAAACAAAGAGCTGAAAATTGTTACATCAGGGGTAAGAGAACCACAGTGAAAAGTGGGGCAGAGCCTGTCTTTAAATTTTTTTTTTTATGTGATTCAGTTCTACCTACTTTATAAAAGTTCAAGTGGATAGCTTTGATAAAATTAAGTATTGAAGTACAATGTAAGAGCTGGTGTGGTGGTGCACGCCTTTAATCTCAGTACTCAGGAGGTAGAGGCAGGCAGATCTCTGTGAGACTGAGGCCAGCCTGGTCTACACAGTGAGTTCCAGGCCATTTGGGGTTACAGGGAGACCCTATCTCAAAAAACCCCAACACAAATAAAGTGCAATGTAAAATGAGATACTTGGGAAAAACAGAGGGGAAACCCACTGTTTATGTAACATACAGTGTGACGTGGCTAAAGTTTGACTCTATTAAAATACCCTGGAAATCTCAGTTTATTGACAGAAGGAAAAGGAGGTTTATACTAAGCAAAACTAAATAAAGTTCAAAAAGTAATTTTAAATGGGAGGCTGATGCATTTAAGCACATGCAGTCATGGCACTTACAGTTTTGGCAAGCTCTCTCAATCCTCTTTTTATCTCTTTCCTTTTCTGGGAAAACAGTTTAACTTCGTTTTTGATAGCCTGAAATGGAACAAGCACATCACTTAACAAAGCAAGAGAAGATGACAGGGAGAGGCGATGATTACTTTGATGGATGCTTAGGCAGGACTTCTCTGAAACGGCAAAGCTTACAAGGCTATAGAATAAAGTGTCTGGGCTGGGGAGATGGTTCAGCTGTTTATCACTTGCCACAGAAGTCTGAGAACTGGAGTTCAGGTCCCCAGAAACCCATGTAAATGCCTGGTAGATGTAGTGACCCACCTGTAATTCCAGCTGTAAAAAGCTGAGACAGGGGATTCCCAGAGTAAGCTGTCTGGCAAGGCTAGCTACATTTCTGAGCTCTGGGATTGATAGAGAAACTTGCCTTCCTGAGTAAGGCAGAAGAGCAGTTGAGGCTAATTCCAGACATCAACCTTAGATCTCTACATGCACCCACACATGCAAAAACATGCGCACACACACACACACACACACACACACACACACACACACACTAACTAAGGGTTTTCTGCTGCTTTCTTTGGGCTGTAACATTCT